GGAGAACTGTATAGGCTTTTTGATGGTGACACTTATATTTGTACTTTTAAAATATTACTTGTCTGAGTTCCAATTCTTGCTATTGTTATTGGTTAATGTTTTAAGGATGGTAGTGACATTATACTCATTCTTGTTTAGAAGCCAGTGTAAATTTATACAGATATGTAAATGAAATGTAACCAGTAAATTTTAGAAAATGGCTTTCATTAATGACCTTTATAATCAAAGATGCTGCTTTGGTGATTTCTGTCTTTCCTTAGGTTGCACTTCAGAGATTTTAGTCCTTTTTACCCAGCACCAAGGGATTTATTGTACAAGAAAATAAGATTTGTTGTTGTTTACTTTCTTTGTAGACCTTGTTGCTGTTTTAGCACTGTAGGGTGCACATTATAATTCAGTTAAATGTGCTTTGCAGAACAACAATTTATCAAATCCTAATTAGGTAAAGAGTATAATTCTGCCTGTGATATTTGTTGGTGCAAATAATGCCAATGCAGGAATATAACTTCATCGATCTCCACTGATGAAATGTTTTTAGTCGTGCTAATAAAAAACACCTTTAACCCTGTATTTCTCTGAGTAGTTCATAAAAAAGACTCTTAAATTGGTTTATTTTTTTCTATGATCTAGGTAGGTTTTTTTCTAAATCCGTTTTAAGTTCAGAGTTTTGAAAATCTGAGAAAAGAAAAGAGCTGATGCTTAGCTCATTTGCTGTTGTTTGCTGTCTAGTTAATTCCTACTTAGAATCCTCATGCATTTTAAAAGAACTACAACAACTAGGGACTTATAAATCGATAAAATCTCTTGTGATCCTGGGTCCTGAAGTAAGAATTTATAGGGATTGTTAGAAACAGAAATGTCTTTCTGTGTCGTTGTGAGTGTTATTATATGGCTTTTTTTGTGTGTGTGTCTGCCCATATTTATGTCTGAAAATTAAGGCCCATCTAAGTAAGGCCTGTGTAGATGTTAGAAGTTTAACCTCGGGCTCTACTTTCTGCTTGGAGAGCCGGCCCTATCTGCCCTACAACAGTCTCTGAGTTCTCACTGCTCCCGCTAATCCCATAACCACACAGTGTGGTCCAGGTAAGGCTGTAGAGGGTCTGTGAGTCCCTAGAAAAATTAGATTATTGAACATTTTATATCCAAAATTAATTGGAATTATATCTGTAAAATTTTTTTTTTTTTTTCTAATTGGGAGATTATTAAATGTATATATGTAAGCATATAGGTGATTACTTCTCTCTACTGTCTTTACTTTGTTTTTCACTTGCTTTCTGTCCTCTAAATTATTATTTGGGAGCTCTGGTAGCATAGTGGCTAAGACACTTGCCTGCTAACCAGACGGCTGGCGGTTCAAACCCACCAGCCACTCCTCGGAAGGAA